CACTCTAAAAGAAGTCGACAGGTGTCCACAGATCTAAATAAGCCACCCTTACGATGGAATTGTAACTATGATCCGCAAGTGGATTTTTCCAGACGTCTGGTTGGTGATCAATGTGCTTCGAGGACCCGTGGTGCACACATTTTACGTTACAGTTTCGTTGCTCAATTAGTGATTACGGGTACGGAGTTCCAGCAGAAAATCACTAATCTGCAGCACGGGAATTCAAGCGGAGACGATGCACTGACGACTCTTATCGATTCACTCAAGTACGTCACTCGTCTTTCCGTGTTGATGCGGCTGCTTGCTACAGCTGCGGTCTTCATCCAAGGTCTTCGAGTGCTCAACACATTCCGCAACCATATTGGGCTAAGTCTCCTGAGTCACTCAGTTCAAAAAAGCTCTATACTGGTGTGGAGCGTTCTCTGTGACCTTCTTGGTGATTTTCATGGCGTTCGCAGTGTACTATTCGGTAATCGCGTGCACGAGTTCTCTTCTCTATTAATCTCCATGACTTGTGTCAATGTGCTTTTTGGCGGATTCGACTTCGAGGTCATTAAGGGTATCCACTACTCGATTGCGTTTTACTGGAGCTTCATGGCTCTAGAGACGTTTGTGCTGCTAAACATTGTGCTGGCGATCGTAATCGACGCTTATAGCATGGAGAGAATCAAGAAGGAGAGGACCAAGTGGTGGAGATGTCGACGCGTTATTGTCAATTTGTTTCGCGGATTTGTATCCAAAACAGTTGATCAACTTCCAGCTCAATTCTGTCTGTGCTTCAAAGAGCGCCATCAAGTGGTTTTCTGGGACGAATCCGATCCAAGACGCTTCGAAGCGTATTTAGGGATAAGTTAGACAGCTCAGAGTGGACACCGGATACAATTCTCATTGTGGAGAAACTTGAACAATTGTTCCCCGATGCAACTGGACTTGAGTGTATAAACACGATGAAGTATCTCGTCCCTGGGATTTGCTAGCACAGCAGTCCGCAAGGCGTCGCCTCGCTATTAAAATGTCCATGATAAGTTGGGTTTCCTACAGTTGTGATGGTCTGGAAATGGTATCCACAAGGTCTGCCATAGTCATTGATGGTTTGGTGCGGTTCCAAAAGCGTCGCTGCAATTTATTTGCTAGACGATCGAGCGCCATGACGTTGATGAGAACGAAAATCTTGTCTCCGGGGTACACGATCGTGTCGGAAGACGGACACGTGTACACATACGGGTAAGGTGCACCTCCAGGACCTCCCTTCGCACGAAGCAAGCCGATCGGTAGCGTATGTGCCACACTCGACGTCATGTACTCAAAGAGCTCTCCATACAGCAGCTTACGTTCGCGTAACTCTTTCGGCACGTCGTACAGCACGAAGCAACTTTTACCATCAAGAATCTTTCGGATGAACGTATTGAGCGACGGATTGAAGAAGCTTTGGATCAGCAAGTCATCAGCGACGTACGAAGGGAACAGAGCTCCGTTCATAAAGCGCTCCTGGAAGAACGTTTCGCTGTCGTCACCATTGTAGAGACTCTCGATCGTAACCCCAGTGGCGCTGTCTGTCTGTCCTCCATACGTACTCACCTGTTGCGCGGCAGTTTTCAGACTTCCAAGGAAGAAAGTATTCACAGCAGAGCACGCATGCTTGACTACTTTAGCCTTATGTTGCATCCAGTTCTGCTTCTTCGTGACACTTGATGCTCGACCGTGTTGTAAACTCTCACGAACACCAGAAGAGAACGGTCCGCGATAGCTGGATAACTGCGACTTGACGTCGTATTCACCTTCATTCTCGTCCATAAAATCATTGTCTTGCAGTCTTCGTGATGAACCGAAGCTCGATACTGGATCCAAAAAGCGGTTGTTGTTAACATCCCGAAGCTCAATGATCGTAAAGATTTTGTTGCGTTGTAGTGCTGAGTTGACTAGAATCGCGTTAAAAATCGCCTTGGAGTCGTCGTATCCAGCCTCATTCCCTTGAGCAAGCACGACAATGGACGACGCCGTGTAGATCCCAGCAGTAGCAAGAACGTGGTGGTTCTGAGGCGATCCGTGTACGTGATACACCTCGCCGAAATCTCTCAGTTGAAGCCACGAAACGCTGTCAAAAGTGCCAGCGTCTACGATCACAACGGGGACAATCCGTTCGATATGTGGAGCTCGTAGTGGTCGTAAGAAATTCACCAACCGAGAGACAGAGCGCTGTCCTCCACTCTCGTTGCCAATACTGCTACACACGACAATGTGGCCGCCAGCAGCGAGCAATTCACCGGAAGGGGACGTCGGGATCTGAGACGGATCGTTGACAGCGCACCGCATGATGTACTCTCGGATATCTCTTGGGATTCGTCTCTCAACGTTATGTTGCGCTTGACGAGCACGACTTAGCAGGTTCCCACGACTCTGTAGTAGCGCCATGTTAGTGGACAAAGCAGCGACGCTGCTCATTGTTGGTGTGCCAGCGAACGGCTCGAGAGAGCTGATGGACTCAGCGATTAAGTAAGCTTTCGTACTTGGAGTAATACGATACCACCGGCCAGGATTGAACGCGATATCTCCATCGGACTCAACAGCGATAAGAAGCACCAAACCATTTGACTGTCGATGGATGTGCATCGTGGCTTGGATGAAATTCATGCCGTGGAAATGTTTCGTCAAACAACACGAGTAGATTTCATTGGCAGCACCAGAAATGTACTCGGAGACCCAAGGTTTCAGTAGATGAGCTTGATCCGGAGCGACTTCGGGGATCTCTCCACTGCGACTTGTGATTAAGTTTGACACCACCGTTGATAGGCCAGGGCATCGACAACTGAGACCCATAAGTCCAAGACGAATTTCATCTGCGCAGACCAGATTTTCCTTGCTTAACCCAGTGGCTTCTAGTAGTGTGCGGTTGTCCGAGTTGGCTAGCATGGCGAATAGTTGAGTGTGTTCCTGTTTCTGCTGAGATACTGACAGAACACGCAGCACTGTAGCCGCATCTTCCTTGTTGCCATCATCCGAATATTTGTTTGGCAAGAAAAATACAGCCATGGCTCGATCGAGTTGCGCGTTCTTCAGGTCAGTATCTCGTAGTGGAGAGCCGTACACTAGGAACACGCGCTTATGGTATCGTGGGTTCTGCTCCACAAACTCCATCACTTCTCGTTGGTACGAAGCGTTCTCGCCAGCCTTATCGAACTGCATGAGCACAACAATATGGGTCTCACGGATTAAACTTCCTCCACGATGCATCCACTTCGAGACGAGCGGTTTAACATCTCGCTTCTTGTCTTTTTTGATACTAACTTCTCCTTCTTCCATTGCCGTATATGCTTCATGAATACTGCCATATCGAACGTGATTCTTCAGTGGAATCTCACTACGAGAATGAGAAGCTTCAGTAGAACTTTGACCTGCCACCAACTTCTGAACTTCATCGTCGCTATCTTCACTGTCGCTGGCTTGACCTTGAAATGCCTCCTCGTGGTCAGGATGGAAAAATTCGCGGATAAAGTCCTTAGTCTGGGCCACTGAAGGATTTCCTGTCACTATAACGTGCACAGTATTTCTTGAGCCATCATATTTCACTAGTGTTCCACGTTGATCTCCGTAAAGCGCCATAAAAGCAGCCGATTCGTTCGCGAATGTATAGATTCCAAACACGATGATCACACAAACAGTAAGCTGACCCAGCACGGTGTGAGGTGAAAAATCACCATAACCCACAGTAGAGACCGTCACAAACATGAAGTAAATGGACGAGAAGAAGCTCCACGTTTCGTCACAGTTTGGAAACGCGTCCGTGCCTTCACTGGTGGCTTGGAGGATCGTCTCGGTGCCAGCTTCATTGCTGCATTCGTACACATGAAGCAGGAAACTGTTGGTATGTGGTAATTCTCCAAGCTGTTCGAGAGAGAACAAAACTGCTGCGAAGAAGAAGACGAGGCACAGAGCCTTGAATACCACGAGTAACACCTGCGAGAAAAATGTTTTGTTCGGGTAGCGAGCGAACAAATGATCCACCACCACGTAACCCACATAGGACCGAATGAAGCCAAAATCCAGCCATGATCGAAGTCGCTTAGTCCCAACCACGATCGTCTGGAATGAAATGGTAAAGTGCGCTACTACCGACAATAAGTCGAATAAATTGTGCAGCTGCAGTACGAACGTCACTCTTAAGAGAAAAAAATGTCAGCCTAAAAACCTAAATAAATACACAAATTTTCACTCACTTGTTCTTGGCAGCTAGCCAGCGAATACCGTATCCGACACCCGTAGCGATGAGAAACAGCGACTCAATAGACCACGACGAGAAACTCACAGTCAACGATCCACCCCGTACAACTTTATAAAGACATTAGCATAACGTAAAACAGCAGAAGAGACTGACAAAGTACCACGTACTCCAGTTGATGCAGACATAGAAGCTGGTGACGAGTTGAACAAGATAGTTCTACATAACAACACGAGTTAGATACATGTACTAATTCATCCAGTGATCCTCAACAATAAAGGCTACTTACCACGACGTTGGTGAGCGGAGAGTCGCAAATTTTACGCAGTCGCTCGACATATTTGTGCGAAGCCAGTTCGAGCCACTCATAGACGATAGAGAGCGCGATAACAGGCACTTGGATGAGCAGCCAATAGCGAACTTGGTCCCAAATAAGGTACCACGACGCCGTGTAGCAGCCGGCCGAGTTGTCCGTGATGGAGCAGGCGGGGGCGATGGCCGCCACCACGTCCGTCATGATTGTCCCCTGGTAAATTGTAGACTGGTCTCTCACAAGTCGACATTCAAAAAACCTAATCGGCTGTTTTCTAACCCTAAAAATGTGGTAACAGAAGACCCGTCTGCTCTGGCTTTTATTTTAGTCTTCAACGTGATGCTCTGTTTGGATCACTATTTTTTTTGGATCACTATTATTTTACGTTATTGGTTGGGTAGAATAGGATACAGCACTGCTTGGGTAAATGGCGAGTGTTGATCTTGTGTCGATAATTCCTCGTTGGTCTCGGTTCCTGTGCGTGCATCGTTTTGCTTGTCTTCGCTGTAATTTAGGGTTCTTCGAGGAGATTGGGTCTCTCGCCATGCAGCTTCTTTGAGCGACAGTTGCTCACGGTTGTATCCACTCACTGCAGCGGCTAAGCGACTAGGACTGAGTGCGGGATTACTGTTACTTTCATCTTCGGAGAGCGAGTCATCGTCATCATCAGAGTCTTCGTTGGGATATGGCAACGGGTTATTGCTCGATCCAGTGGCGCGTAGAACTTCCATTCCAGTACGGACGAAGTTACGGTTGTATCGTAGAGTACTGGTGCAGTTGGGCGAGGATTGACAGGGTACTGGGAGACGGATGGGGCTGTGATTAGATTGTCGGGCGCTTTGAGGGGAATAGTCTGCGGATTCTAGCCGTTCTTCGTATTGTGTATCAAGTTGTAAGTGGTGGAATTGAGGTCGTTTGTTGGCGCTCAGCTTCGGTGGTACCGGTTTACGTGGCTGTGGACTCTGTTGAGCAGGAGGTCGAGGAGATAGTGATCGACTGGGAGAATGTTCCGGAAAGAATGGGGGTCGTGCAGGAGATACCAGTACGTTTTGTTTGATACCAAACTCGTTCACATGGTGGATCATTTGCGACGGAGATGAACACATGCCACTAGTTTTGTCGTCCAGGAGTGGAAGCGTAGAAGCTGCTTCACTACTGGTGGACACAGTGCTCCGGGTTTTCCCAGGATGACGCCGTCTGCTTTCATCTTGACTGGCTTGTGCCCGGAGCTGCGTGCGACTACTTCGAGGACTGGAAGCGAGCGGTCTGACCAGACTGTGCTTCTGCTGTTGCTTTGGCGCTCGCTTCAATTTCCCCACAGTGAAATGGAGATCCATCTCGTTAGCCACTCCAGGAAGCAGTTCTCTTGTGGCTCTACTGATCTTCTGGAGTAAAGTCTCCGATGATCCAGTAACGTCAGTAGGAATGTATTGCGATGATACTCGAGGTCTCTCTAAGGCAGGATTCCTCTGCGGAACGAGTGTCTGACTCGGTTGATCCGTGACGGTCACAGTAGCCTGGACTTCTTTATTGCGTCGTAGCGAGCGCATGTACACATCATGTTCGTATTTTCGCCCTATCTTGCCCATAAGATCTTCATAAGCGATCACCTGCATGTCAAACTCGCGTCGCAGATTCGCTAAAACCACTTCAACTTGAAACGCGCGGTTTGCACGTAACACGTGATCGATTCGAACTTGATCCAACGTGAATTCAACGGCTTGTTTCTCAGCACGAGCTTTGAATAGTGCGAGCGTTGTCGTCTCCAGATCCGATTGAAGCATTCCCTTCTGACATTCGAACTGCATGATCACGCGAGCCTGTTGTCTCGTAGTTGTCGTCAGCTGAGAGATCTGTCGATTCTGTTCCACCACCACGCTCTCCAGATTGGCGATTAGATCCACCTTGAGCGCTATATCACGCTGGAGTTTGTTCACTAGATGGTCCAGCTTACTCTTCCTGAATCGACTCATACGAATGATCTCGCGTTGAGCGGCATCAGATGCCTCCTTAGTTTCTTCTTCTTCGTCTTCGCAGCCTTCAATACTAATGATACCTTGTCGGCGCGCCTCTGCTCGCTTTTGACGACTCGTACGCTCTTCGTCAGTGACGTCTTCCTGGACTTCAAGCTCGATATCCACGGGTTTGTCGTCTTCACCAAGCACGCAGTCGAGGTCCAGTTCTTCGCCAAATGTATCCTGAACCATTAACAGTAATTCTCGTATTGCTTCGTCCAGCGGGAATTCATCAAGCTTGACAAGTGCCAGCATGTTCTGTAATGAGAGGACGAATCGAGTGACCGCGTTCTTTGAGGTAGAATTGGCCATGTTCAGCTCGTTCTGGTTACGTTGCAGATCTTCTTTTTCGGTCTGAAGCTCCCGGACGTGCAACTCGGACTCCTTAATGCGAGTTTTCAAGACCGTGGCTTCTTTCTCCGATACTGATAGTGTCTTTGTGAGCTGCTCGATCTGAGCGATGTTGTCTTTATTCACGTACGTTATCTCTCGAAGCTGGGCGTTGGCTACCTTGACTTCCACCTCCAGTTTAGTGATCTGCTCCTTCGCTGCTGTCTCGTACATCTTGAATCGCTCCTTCAATGACGTCACACTGTACAATTACACAGATCTATTAGACTAAAGCTTGAGATCGATTAATGATCTCGTGACGTACTTCTTTTTGGTCTTTTCGTAATTTTTCTCCAGCTCCTGGTTTTGTAGTCGCAGTTGTTCACATGTGCGTTCTGAGTGAAGAAAAGCTTGCTGCCCTGCTGAGTATACGCGTTTGTTGTGCTGCAGTTCGTTGTCTAAAGCTTCCAACGACGTTCTTAGAGTCCAGATTTGCTCTTCATCCTTCTTTTTATCAGCCTTGTTAGCCTCCACAATTGCTTCGAGCTCCATCTTTTGATTCAGTAGCCGCTCAATACGTAACTTGTCTTGTGCTCGCATACCGGTGTTCTGCTTTTCAGCTGTCAACAAGTTGCATTTCGCTTCCAAGACTCCGATCTGCACTCTCCCTTCGTCAATCTGAGCCGCCAGTCGAACGATCTCCTGCTGGGTTTTGGTGCTATTCTCCACTTCAATGTCAAATTGCTCTTTCATCGTCTGTAAACGCGCTTCTAAATGGCTTTGCATCCTCTGGTTTTCAACCAATTCCTTGTCAACTTGTGCCTTGAGTTCTTGAAGCCGATTAATCTCTTCTTGCATTTTCTCGACTTGTTCTTGTAAACCCTGTTTTTCGACAATTACTTTATCCTTTTCCATTCCTAGAACAACTAAATCTTGTTTCAGCTGGTCATTATTGGCTCGTAGTGCTTGGTTCATGAACAATGTCTCGTGCATTCTTTTAGCATAGTTCGCTTTCTCCGCTTCTACACGCTCCAATTGAATCGACAGCTTCCGGATCTCCTCGTCCAGCGCATATCGCTCCGATAGAGCGTTCAACCGCTCGGAATTCGCTACTTCGTAGTCTCTCCGTGCATCATCCAATGATTCGTTCAGTTTTTTCTCCTCATCTTCATGTACCAAAACTTCGAGCTTCAATAAACGAACCTGCTCTGCTTGTGCCGCAACTTGGTGCTGCTGTTCGGCCATCTTAAGGTTTGACTCCGTCGTCTCTGTAACGAGTTTTAGAATGAGTTCACTCTTCTCGTTTCCACGAGCTGTCTCCTCTTTCAATGCAGACTCCGTGATGTGTAATTGAGCATTCAAATGTTGTTTTTCTTGTTGGAACCCATCTTGAAGCTGCTTTTGTGTATTTTCTGCAGCTTGTTTAAACTTGAGCATTGCCATCTCGTACTTGCCATTTTCGCATTGTTCAAGTAACAGAAGAAACGTTAACCAAGCGTTAGATGACACATGCTTTTCAAACCGTGGAGGGCAGTGAGCTGCGATCTCGTTGATGATATTGTGGAAGCCATTCGTGTACACGTACAACGCTCGATAAAGCCGATCCACCAGGTCTTTCGGCATACCCATTTGATACAACGAATAGCGATCCATTCCAGCTCGACCAAGAGGACCACCGTCTCCTCCCTTACGAAAGGCAAAAGCTTCAGGATCGACGTCCAATTCGTTATCGATTGCTGGGGTTTTCGCAATGTCACAAGCTGGAAGAAGAAAAGCCCCATTAGTCTCCAAGTGCAGATTCACCCATTCTTCAGCGACAACTGAATCGTGCAGAGCTGGTGTCATGCCTCCTTTGGATGTCGGACTTGAGGAAAGTGTCGACTCGGTTACAGTCGGTGGTTGATCATGATCTTGTCGACCAGGAGATCTCGGACTACTCCCTTGATTCTTAGTATTCCACGCTCTATTCGCCATTGCTGCAAGCACTTCTCGATTGATTCTTGCGATTTCACTCTCGGCTGGAGGAACGACTATAGCTAAGCGTGCACTGATTGCGGCTAGAGTAGACGAGGGGTCTGTTGCGTAGCAAACAGTTGCAGTTAGTCAGACTACGGTGAATACTACACACGAATCTCACCGAGAGATACACAAAGAATGATGCCATACCGATGTTGAGTAGATTAGCATCCTGCTTGTTAGAAGATCGCAATGGACTGCGGGGGCTTGTTTCACTCTTATTACGGCTGGTAGGAGACATTTCAAGTGAAGGAATTGTCAAGGACAGCTCTTCGACCTTAGGATCATTATCCAACTCATTGGTCGAGGCTTCACTAGCCTCGACATTCTCCATGATGCAAAGAGTTTATTTGCGATAATGTGTCGGCATTGAAATATTTTGTAGTAGTTATTTTGGCATCGAACAGTTTTCAGAATTATTCCTAAACATGGCTCGTATTATCATAACGACCAACTCCATTTCACCAGTTCTAAAGAAGCTGTTTAGTTTTACTTTTTGGCATCGCGATCCGCTTAGTTTCTTGTAAACTACCTCGCCACTTAATACGCCTACCTCCTATAATTGGTAATAACCGCCCATGCGCCGATAGGAAACATGATGAGGGTCGCGAGAATGAAGAACTTGTCCCTCTTTGAGCTGTTGTTGTACATATTCATAAACCACGCGCGGACCTTGCTCGACCCCTTCTGAGTAAATGTGGCCTTCTCTAAATTCTTGACCATGGTAGGGTTCTTCTGCAGAGCCTCGACCTTCTGGCTGACACCAGGCTTGCTAAAAATACCCTTTAACTTGCTCAGAAAGCCCGCCGCTCTCTCTTCACCGTTCGCCCTGAGGTTGCGACGTGTGATGTCATGGCTGATGGGGACGTTAACGGGGTCAGGACGCTTGTCCAGGGCAACGGCGCTCTCAGCGCTGGCGAAACCATTGTAGCACGCGATCAGAGTGACGACGAGCAGGGTGAAGATGAAGCTGAAACGCATTGGCAGACTGGAGAGCTGGGAGGTTTATTAGATAGCTTGCCGATTGTCAAATGAAGCTGCAAGACGAGAGGAAATTGATTGGGGCGCCCAGCTTGGCAAGCTGTACTGCAACCAGCCAGTCGAAAATGTCCGATCTGCAGCGACAACAGATCATAGATTTATCCCGTTGCTCATAGGGTTTATCAGTGAAAATGATGTGCTCGTCCGGCTTGTTGTGCTGGGTGGCACTAACACCAGTTTATGTTTATGAAAAACGTAGGATGTACACATTGGAGAAATTCTGGTCAAGGTCAAGCGCTACAAGTTTGTAGTTTACCACTGTGTATGCATGATGCACTGTGCATCACCACATAGGAAAAATAATGGTGCAGTGTAGACGTACGGAATTATTAGGGAGAACTACTACCTACACACCTAAACAAAATGGTATAACGAATGCAAGACGAAAGCAGAGGAGAATTGTTGTATCCTTGTACTTGCATCACCGGAAAGAGTTAACTCTTGCAGGCTCATCATGCATAGAGAAACGTCAGAATCTCCAAGGAAGGGAGATTAATATATTTGATTGGATAAATACAAGCTTGCTTTCATGAGGCTGTCTTACGGGTGGTATCGAACCTGTAAGGATGGTTTGCAGCAGCAGACATAATAGTGTTTACTTGGATTCAGCACTTTATTAAAAGTTCTGACGTTTCTCTAAGCATGATGGGCCTGCAAGAGTTAATAAGTGACTTGACAATTGTATTTATAGTTGAGTATTGGTAGGATTCAATTGTATTAATAGCTTACTGGTACTGTGACGTAATTTTGAACGAGTATTTTGTGTTGTAGTAGGTTTGCTGCGGGCCTCACGTTGCACTGTAACCCTAACGGTACACCGCACCAGACAACACACTTATGCATGCAAAAATTAGAAATCAAAGTTGTGGTGCGTAATAGAGGCGCTCATCCATGACGGTCGTCACAGCGCGGAGTACATGGGCCGTGTTGTCGCCAATGATAGAGTCAAGTATTCGCATCATTTGCGGAGCGTTTCTTAGGTTGTGTATCCATAACTTCCTAAATGTTATTTTCATGTACGTATTGTATTGAGAAGTGAATACATGTAACTTGGTCTGCCGTTGTCAATTTACTCGGGGGCCCTCTTTTTTACAGCCTAGAACTTCGTCTTAAACCTTCCGAGGCTTGGAGCTCTAAATACTGTGAAATAAACTCCACCCGCTCTTAATATCTGTTGCCATATTCAACAGTACATATACTATTCTTGGCGATTGTGCTCACGGCGGTAAATCTGAGTACCCATCGTGACAGTGACTGTGAGTTACCTAGGACACGTCCTGTTAGATCTATTTCCTTAGGTCTTTCTTCTTATTCGTATATGTTGCCAGCGTCGAAGCATTCGCTTTCCTCGCTTTCTTCGTCTTTGACGAGTTAGCAAACATCGCAACATTTTCCTTCTCTTTCACTTTGGATGAGGTAGACTGAACACGGCTCGCCAAACGGGATATCACTGGGGACACTGCCATTATCGCGGCTTGCTTCTGCGTTTGTAGTCGTCTTAGTCTAGCCCGACGCACACGATCCGCCACCGATTGGCTCTCCTCAGTAGTATAACTATCATCGTTTGAAAGTGAAGACGAACACGAGCTAATTGGAGATTCCGGTGCATCTGAAAGCACTGGTCGTACCCTTTGCAGTAGTCGAGAAGGGAGCTGAGCATATGCTGGAGCCTGCTCCAATCTTTTAGAAATCCGTTCCTGAAGGAGTTGAATGTCTTCGTGAACTTTCCTCGTGTGCTTGTCGATCAGGACTTCTTCTGCTTTAGCGGTTATTTCTATTGGAGACTCGAGTTCATCGGATCTAGTATAACCACTCACGGGGCGTACGTGACGAGAGGACTGCTTAGTAGATTTGTTCATCGCTACGGAGTGAGACCTAGGTGCCGTTCTAGCTTGATCGAAATCATTATGTTGTGGCTTCATACACGGCTGCCCTCCCTGGACATGATGTCTTGGGCACTGTGGGACCATACCAAGACCTCTCCTACCATAATCTTCTTGGTTACTATGAAGAGCATCGAACTCCTCATGTCCCTTTTGGGAAGCAGGATTCACGTGGTTGATGCGGTGCGTCAAGTTCAAAATCAACTGGTTCTTCTCTTGCAGTAGTCGACTCAGCTCTATATTTTTTACTTGTTCTTCCTTCCACTTCCCCTCGATATTTGTACATTCGCTCTGTAAGCGTTCATTTTCACGTTCATGTGCTTGTTCGTGTTCGTTCATGGCTTCGCACGTACTGGCAATCCGCTTTTCATACTCCTGAAGCCGATTCGCAGTATCTTCCCGCTCCGTTTCCTGTTCTTTCAAGTGACCCCGTAGGTCAGCTATCTCTCGCTCAAGCTCTTTCTGTTTATCCATTGCTACGGCCATTTCAGCGTCATGAGTATTAGCTATCTGCTCTGAAGCAGCACGTAGGTCCTCATTGACTTTCTCCTCTCCAGCCACCTTCGCCTTCTCGGCTTCGAGTTCTCTCTTCAGCTCAATCATTTTAACTTGTTGCACCTGGTTCTCCTGAGCAAGAGATCGATATTTGACACTATCCTTCTCTCGCTTCTCTTCTTCGTCACATAATGCATCTTCCCACGCACGTCGCTCCTGTTCAATTGCAGCTCTGGCCTTTTTGAGCTCGTTCTCTAGAGAAACATTCCTCTTTTCATAACGACGTAAGGCCGCCTCCAAGTCTACAACTTGCTGGTTATCCCCCTTTGCATGTTCATGCAGAATCTCAAGTTGGTCCGACAGAGACACTGTGGTGTCCTTCACAGCCTGTAAATGCGCCTCCAGATCGTGTTTTTCATGTACGGCACTGTCGTAAGTACTTCGTAGTATTTTCAATTGATGATGTAATTTATCCACGTAAAGACATCTCCATTGTCGCCAAACTGCACTGAAAATCCCATTTTTGCGTTGGGATGACACGACCTGGAAGTTTTGTTTGCATCGTTTCTTCCTTGTGTTGAATCTCCGCCAACTTGTTGTAACTCGTCGGAGAAGTGACCATTGTCGCCGCTTTTCGGCGTGTGCTAGCATTCGTGCACGTGCTTTTTGTGCTCTCGCTAATCGAATTCCAGTCCGAAAAGCGTCAAAATGATGCTGAAGTGTTCCGTACTTGTTGGTCTTCGCTTTCTGCAAATTGGCGTGTGTTCGTTCTTTCCACACACGCCATGAAGTACGTAACAGCTTTATGAAATAATGTTTCAAAGCTTTCGTGGAATCTTGCGTATACTTCCGCTTGGCCATCGAGAAATATTTCCAATGCATCCACAGCTTCCGAAGTCGTCTACGGTTCACATACCGCTTGGCCAGGTTCAAAGATCGTCTCGATGTAGCTTGCTCGGACGCAGTTAGATGCCACGCACCAAAAAATACTTTAATCACTACAAGTTCCTCTTTATGAGCAGCGTGTTTCTCACTCTGAACACGACGACGCCACTCCACCCAACGTCTCCATATTCGTCGACGCAACCTGACCTTACACATCCTATCAATCTCGATCAACTTGCGCCATTCACGAAAGTGCAGGCGTCTCTGTCGGCATTGTATACGGTATCCAAGTTGTGCTGCTCGCTCCTGTACAGGTCGCCGAATAGAATACAGGAACAATTTCCAGTTCCAAAACACAATTTGCTTATGAATACGCCGAGAATCTTGCCAGCGTAGATCTTGCACTTTATTTACAGTTCGCTTGTATCTGGTTGTACGTTTCCATTCACGAAAACATGCACGCCGAAGATTATGTATCATACGATCTCGCTGCTGATGGAGTAGTTCTCTCTCATGTTTTATCAAAGTAGCAGCGCTGACCCATGCTCGAAAAATATTGTTAAGAATTCGGGTTTCCCGTATCATTTCATTGCGCTTTGCGATCACACCGACCCTCGTCACATTGGCCCATTCAATGAAATGGTTTCTGCGTACTCGAAGTTGCTGCTTCTTTAAACAGCCTCGTAGTTCATGTTGCATCCATACTTTGCGTCTCCATAGCCAAAAATGATCATGTTGTACAATGAAACATCGCTTTCTTTGTACATGTTTGATCTGTTGTGACCAGTTGTAGAATCGAATCCAGCGGATGAAGAATCGCTTGAGGATCTTTGGTGTAGCTACAGCCATCGTACGTTGAGCCATCTCCTCTTTAATCGCCTCGCGTTCGTGAAGCTGTTGGGCTAGTGTCTGTTGGTATGAAGCCAATTTCCGCTGAACGTTTGATAAAATGTGCCGAAGATCCAGCTCTCGCTGTTCCGACTCCATTAGTGCTCGAATGTACTTCTCTTCTCGTTGCTCCAGCTCCTGTAGACGACCCTCATTAAGCGACACATCAGGTTTCATCGGGTTAGCAACACGTTGAGGTTCATCGCAATGGGACTGTCGTCGCTGTGCTGTTTGGAGTGGCCGAACGGGCTCTGACTGTGGCGGTAATGAGGCTATAGAGAGAGGATTTGGTGGGCTTTTTGCAATAGGAATATAGGTTTCCTCCTGGGTTCGACGTGCTCGTGGAGGCGATGAAGATGCGTTGCTAATCGCACTGATGCTTGTCATGTCTAGGTCTTCCCGGGTGAAGGCTGATGATACTCGGCGTTGGCTGCTGTTAAACTCGGTTGCGACTTCACTATCGCGATGATTTCTACTCGCCATGTGGTCGCAGTTATGGAAACCAGTTGAAGACTGCTGTCTGTCACCAAGATTTTTATGAAACAGTGGATGCTGTTTCTCAATCAGTTCCGGGGGCAATGGGGCATCTTCTTGTCGTTGCATAGTGTACACTCTTTGGAGTTGAGTGGTTTTGCTCTGTAGCGATGGTCGTGATAATTTTTGAGCCGAACCTGATACTGAATCTCTCAGCTTGAAACCATGAATTGCCTCACCAAGAGATTTATTCGCGAAGTCTCCACTGCGAAGATTCGCCTTGCGATCTCGCGTGGTCTGCACTGATGCTTCTTGGACGTGTGAATGACGATAAGCTTCTGCTTCGCTCTTTTTCTTTGATTGCTGTTGGTTTGATGGATTCATGAACGTCAGTGGGGGAGGTAGAAAGCTCGGATGTGGAACCTCTGCTCCTCTGTCCCAAGTATCGGGGTCCTGCTGCTGTGGCGGGAGCTGATGCTTACTAGATCGTGCATCACTATCGTGAGAGTACCGCCGTTCAGTAAGACGTGAGTCCGTCCAAGTGCTTGCTTGATGTTGAGGCGGCGGCTTCGTTTCTAGCTCGTCAACGTTTTGCTCCATACGTCGAACTCCAACTAATTTATTTCGCTGTCTTAGGTCCATTGAGAGGAGTTCTTTCAAGTATTCTACCATCTCTTTGCGGTTCTTCCCACAGACCGCGTGTAAATTTGCAGTCGTTTTCTGTTGCAGTGCAATCACGTTGGCATAAGCTTCTTCCCACGAGGCACAGCGCTGCTTAATATCATTCGAAAGTCCATCTAGCCGTAGTGCTCCTGGGGAAGATCCACTCGCCAGGTTAAGTAGATATTCCTTTGCTTTAACTTTCGGATTCTCGGATAACTTAGCATGCGTCCGGACAATTATCGTGATCATTTGCACCTTCAGCGCTTCCTGCTCCTGATCAGAAAGTGAGTTTTCGTATTTCCACAGTCGCAATAACAGCGGCACATTACAAGCCACATCGTTCGGACTTGGTACGCGATCGAACCTTCCAGTAGCTACCCCTGCCATCACATATCCGTAAAATGTCTTGTGTAGTGAAATCAATTGCGCGATCCGTTGCAGCTTTTGAATGTCAAAATGGTTTTGCAAGACCATAGTTCTTAGAGCATCGTCCTGTGCCGCTACATGAGGCGCTGCATGTCTCTCCTTCTTAGTGATATCACTATTATCCAGTACTTGCAACTTTGTAAGCACCGCAATAACCCGCAGCCTGTAGTTCGGCTGGTCACAGAGTGGATTTCCCATCAAGTTGAGATTTCGGAGCTGCGCGAGTTCATTCAGTCTCGCCACCTCTTTATCAGACGAGATTAAATTCCCGCCTACTGACAATAGCCGCACCGCTGGGAACTGTTCGATCCCCTTTAGTGACCGCAAGTTGTTTTGGCTTAAATACAGCGCCGTGACCGAAGCGCTGACGGTCGGAGGCACACGACCCAGCACATGGATTCCCTTACCCACAGCGTTGAGTCTTGCACCGTCGCACAGCCGCATACCATGCTGTTTAAAGGCATCTATCAGCGTCTTGTGCGACTGCAATGTGGCCTTTTGACCACTGAAAGCCGCGCCATAGTTAGGTTTCCAGGGCGTTGAGCCTTTGCCAGGTTTCTCGGTGTTAGATTTATCTCGTTTTTTAGACTTAGGAGGCTGCCGTAATGCGAACTGTCGACTGTAGCTGGATAGAATAGGTGCGTCGACCATACTGGGCTAACTAGATGCCGTATAAGGAGCTAGATGCTGCGTAGTACGCAGGCGGAGCACCTGTGACTTGTGCGCACCAAGAGGCGTCATCGTAACCGCACCAAAAGCTGCCTCTGTAAACCACACCACGAACGGATAGAATCAGATCCGTTGAGGATACTTGTTCGAGTACGACATTCGCTTATGTACGATACTATTTTTGCCCTCTAAAAAGGAACTAAAAACGAGTGTCTCCGACGAGTGTTCGCTGACTTCATTCCTCACTCCATTTCTCGATTGGCATCACACCCAGCGACAAGCACCATCCTCTACTCAAGCGAACCCACGACACAGCAGCAATGGCCCGTCGTCTCACTAAAGTGCGTGCTGTAGTGCAATATCCGTCACAGATCTTCCATCACTAACGTTGATCTGTCCACAGGAACTCGCCGAGTTTGAGAAGAGCTCACCCGATTGGTGCACTGTTAGTGCCGTAGATGACGACCTTATGCACTGGAACGCAATGCTCGCAGGCCCCGTACGTGACAGCAAAAGCAGCAAGTGCTGTGTAAAGTATAGAGATGCTCATTCGTGCTGCTGTGCAGGAGAATACCCCATACTCTGGCGGTGTCTTCAACTTGGACCTGCAGTTCCCTAGCGAGTATCCGTTTAAGGCGCCCAAGGTGCGCTTCCTCACGAGAGTTTACCACCCCAACGTCAAGTCGCAGTCTGGTGAGATCTGCGCCGATGTCATCAACGAGGTGCGTAGGTTAGAGGAGGAATAGTGAGGCCTTGCCTAACCGTTTTGCTGTTTTACTTGCAGAATTGGGGCCCGACACTGAATGTGCTGCACTGCCTCACAGCCATCAAGCAGATCTTGGAGCAGCCAGACATGGACAACCCGCTGGAACCCGAAATTGCTAAACAAATGCATGAAAACAAGGCAGACTTCGAGAAGACAGCGGAGGAGTGGACTAAGCAGTACGCATCCTAACTCGAAAAGTAGGGTATCTCGGGGTCGATCGCAAAATAATCCTAATAATTTTCACATTTTCTCAAACATAAAATTTGCGTAATGAGTTTTATCGTCAAAATTGTATCAATATCTGAGATGAAGGTGTTGCTGCTCTTCCTCGCGCTTGAGGCACTGCTAACGACGCCTACAGCGGCTTTCGGGCGGCGCCCGCCTAGCAATAATGAGTCAAAACCTCCTGCTGTGCTCTGGTACGCTCCTTTTCTAAGCGGCGGCGGCTACTGCAGCGAAGCACACTCGTACGTGGTGGCCGTTGACGCCGCGATGGGAATGTCGAGTTTATCGTCCTCAACCACTGGTAGTCAGGGCGAACCAAAGTCTGTACAAGATACTGGAACAGATAGCGCATCAGAGAAGCCCTTTGAGCTGCTGATCACGCAGCATGGGGACTCACTCAACCCGGCTTTTATCCGAGACCTGCCTGAGGACATGAAGGCCAAGCTGGAGCAGCATTGGATCGAGGAGAGGGATTTTTACTGGCGTTTGAAGCACAGGAAAACTGCTCTAGCAATTTGCCATTCAGAACCGGGAGCATGGGAGCCTGCGCACTACATCACGTCCCGTTGTCCGCCGGAGGGGGCACTCTACAAGGTCGGACGCACCATGTTCGAGACGGACCGAGTTCCCAGGGGTTGGCCCGAACGGATGAACAAGATGGATGAGATCTGGGTACCTACCAAGTTCCAGGAGAAGATTTTTATTGATGGAGGAGTGAGACCCGAAGCGGTGAAGGTCGTACCGGAGGTGGTGGACGTGGATTTCTTCGATCCTGAGAAGGTGAAGCAAGTGTACGATCTGGCCAGCGAGGTGGCGTTTAAGATGACGGAGAAGACGACTGTGTATTTGTCCGTTTTCAAGTGGGAGGAGAGGAAGGCATGGAGAGTGCTGTTGAAGGCATATTTCCAGGCGTTCACCGCGGAGGATGATGCTGTTCTAGTGTTGCTTACGAACGGATACCACACGACGTCATCGTCGGCCGATGACTTTATGAATGTGATCGAGAAGTTTGCGTTAGAAGCGGTCGGCAAGAAACTTGATGAATTGTCAAACGTTCACGTGCTACCTCCACATATTCCTCAGGACACCATGCCGTCTCTGTACAAGGCTGCCCATGCGTTCGTTCTGCCGTCGCGTGGTGAAGGGTGGGGTCGACCGCATGTCGAGGCGATGGCGATGGAACGTCCTGTGATCGCTACCTTCTGGAGTGGCACTACGGAGTACATGACGGAGGAAAACTCGTATCCACTCAAGATTGACGGCCTCATTGAGGTAAGTACATAGTGAACTGGTGCTCGTAGGGCCGATCAATTGCCTGATTGACCGATCTTTGCTGGTTAAACAGATTGAGGAAGGCGCGTTTAAAGGGCATAAGTGGGCTGATCCTTCTGTAAAGCACCTGAAGGAGCTTCTGCTTCGGATCAAGGAGCATCCGCAGGTAAGGCGCTGGAAGAAATGATATTGATCCATTTTTTTTATCTTATCTCGCGAATGTCCTTTGTAGGAAGCGGTTGCTAAGGGTAAGCAAGCTCGCAAAGACATGGTGGACAAATATTCCCCGGAAATTATTGGAGAGATCGTCCTCGGACACATTACTCGAATCTTGGAGCATGTTGCTGCACAGAAAGAAACTGCAGTTGCTCACGAAGAGCTATAGAGTGATCGTTTCATGACTCTAGAAAGTGTACTTCGAAGCAAGATTGGTAAACATTCCGTTCATTCTAAGGTGGCAGGATTGTCTACTCCTCCATGTTGAAAATGGCAAAACGTGTGCCACCTGCTCGCGTGGAAGACGACAAACAAGCTGAAAAATTCCTCAGCAAATCTACAAAGTGCAACACTCCACTGCGCAGTCTCTATCGTACTCCTCTTGTGTCAACCAAGTGCGATGCAACCAGAGAGCTTTTGTCGGTGCAGACGGACCGGGTTGGACTTCACCATTGAGGACCTGTTGCATTCGGGTCGCAGGCTGGGCACCTTCTCCAATCGGCCGCAATGTTCCAATGATTCGTCGTACCATGTGCCGCAAGAATCCGTTGGCCACAAGCTCAATGCAGACGAAATGCACTGTTGCGCCTACTTTCGCTTGCTCGACCTTCCTCTTCTTGTGGTCACCTGTGGCTACAGCGTTGCTATCGTCCGAATTGTGTTTATCGTAAACAATACTATTGCTTGGTTCGCGATACATATCAGCAACGTCAATAACCTCCTCGCCACTGCCGGACACTTGGGGGTCTAGCGAAAAGTTCACATTGCTACCGCCCACAACATTCAAACGTAAGCTCTTGATACGCAGTTGATAATGAGAATATTAGACGTACCGTCGAACAACCACTTTGGCCGAGATGACTGTCCTCACTGTTGTCATATCCTCGTACTTTGGCTTCAATAACCCCTGCGAGAATGGCCTGAAATCGTGCGTTCCCTCTAAAAACCTGTCACGCCAAAACTTGTAAGACTCACTCTCATGTCGAAATCCACACTATTCAACTCACTTCAGTGCATCACGAATCCGTTGAATATCAAGTCTTCTTCCAAGAAACCACGAGTATTTGCCCAGCTCCAGATCTGGTCGATGCCCTTGCTGCAAGTAGTAAATGTACTTCTTGTAGCGTGATCGAATCCGTGATGGACCCATCGTTGGTACAGTCACTCCAAGCACTACCACTCGACCATTCCCCAGCCTATTACAGCACCTTTGTCTAAGTTTTAACCTCTTTCTCATTGTCTAATAAATATGTCATACTCACTTGGCATTGATGCGGTCCTTCAGCTCGTCCATCGTCATGTGCAGCTCCGAATTGAGTCGAATGAAGCCAAATTGCTACGAGTACACCCCCTTTAGTCGAAACGCTGATCCAAGACCCCGATAATTCTACTTTTGCTATCGTTAAGTCCCCTACATAGAGTGCGTGGGTGCCTGCATCCGTGCGGCTGACTCCAGTGACGTTGACTCGCTTAGAGGCCCCCAAAGTCTCCGTTACGGCGGCTTCCATCACTTCCTGCACACTGTCGTGGCCCGAGCTGCTTTTGGTCTCCTGCTGCTGCCGTTGCCACCCCACCAATCCCGTCCCGTAGTACGCAATGTGCAGGCAATAGCGCCAGCTCGTGGACGTCGCGATGGGCCCGTCCTCATCCGACGACTCCATGGTCTCAGTTGACATTGTACACCAGTGAAACACAAAATAGAGGCATACTTTTTTATTCAAGTCAGATTTTGGTCTAGTAGAACCCTCGATCGGCGGAATGGCCTTCTGCGAGCATGTGCGCGATGACTCCGTTTCCATGACGCACAGCCAAATCCAATGCGGTGGCACCTTCCTGGTTTAGACAATGCATTAGAAGATGCAATTAGAATGTTGCATTGCTTCGAGCTGTGAACGTACCGAGTTGATGAAAGTCTTGTCGGCTCCGTGCCGCAACAGGATCCTTGCAATGTTGTCGTGGCCGAGAAAAGCTGCCTCGTGTAATGCACTGAAGCCGTCGGACTGAGGCAAGGAGTGATAAAGTATTATTGTAGTGAGTGAATTCGTATAGTAATGACTTACATCTCGCTGGTTCACGTCTGCGCCCTCCTGGAGCAAGAACGCCACGCAGTCGTCACGACCTTTTTTCGCTGCAACTTGGAGTGCCGTGTATCCTTCGTTCTGTTACATGGGATCGTATAAGCAATAATTGTAAATGAAATCTGGTCCACTGGCTGCAGTATTAGACCCACATCTGTATCATTGATTCGTGCTCCTTGTTCAAGCAGTGCAGCTAGCTCCTCCACGTCACCATCCCCTGCTGCCGCTACACTAGCAAGTCACCGATGTCAGCCCGCTCTCCTTTTAAGTTGTGTGAGTATCAAGTCGAAATAACCCGTAAAGAGGTCCTCAACCTTCACCGCTACATTCATGGGAATTGTAGAGACGCCTGCTTTCATTTTGGGAAAAGTCGTACTGCTGAAAAGATCCAAGTCGTAGCCTACGACATATCCAAGTCGCCATTATGAGCGTGATCGACCCCGTTTTCTTTGACAAGAAGTTCAACGTGTCGCGCTACATGCTGCGGTATGTGGTCGGGGCCGCAACGGATGATCTCCGCGACCAGCAACTTCAGAAGGTACGAAAGTTTCGTGCCATGGCCGACAATCAAATCGACGGAGTGATCGACCAGAGTTTCGTCAATTTCAACACAAGTCTCGCTCGCTTCACCACCATCTCGAACCAGTTACAAGGTTAGCAGTTCCTCCACAGTAAACTCGATTGAAACTCTAGTCCGTAAGTCTTCTTGTTATTGTTATTCTTCAGAAACTCGGGACAAAGTGCAAGAAGTTCGAAAACGAACTGCTGATGGACGGACAATTCTAGGCTCCAAGACCAAAAATCTACGCGAATTGCTACTTCAGAAGTATGAGGCCAAGAAAGTGATCGATATTATCGACGATATCGAGTGCATTGAGGCCGCACCAGGGAAGATCGACGCTCTACTGACCCAACGGAAGTTCCTTGAAGCAGTCGACGAGTTCGCGAGTGCGCTGGATTTGGTCTTCAGCGAGCAACTCGTGGCTTTCCACGCCACCACTGGACTGCGCAACGATCTGATGGAGTGCAAGCAAACCATCGAAGATCGATTGGTGCAGGAGCTCCAAAGAGCTATTTACCTCAAGGGGGCGTTCGCCAACATTGCGTCAAGAACGAATCAGTACTCACTAACAGCGATTGAGAATGAGCTCAACAGTGATGCATACCTCGACCAAGAGTTCGACAAGCTCATGCTGATAATATCCAAAGCTGATGCTGAGGATCAACACCGAAAAGGCAGATCAAACAGTGCCGCTGTTGCTCCATTGCCAACAAATAATGGGTTGCGGACTGCTGTATGCGCTGTTAAAAAGTGAGTTAAATGCTAGCGTTGCTACCTCATGGTGAGAGGTTAACTCTGTTAGTATCTTGTCGACAGACTGCACCGCGAGCGCGAGGCTATCGGGACGATCAAGAGTTCCATCGAGCATGAGCTGGATGCAGTGGTTGCGGAACTTTCACGTCTCTGCAGAGGAATCTTCAACAGCAGCAGCACCACGTCGTTTGCGAACGCGTTCACTGAGGCTACGTTCGGCACGCATGACCACTCGAGCGACTTCAATACGTTCTTGCGGTTGCTCTTCACCGTGTTGCGTCGCGTTGCCCAGCGTCACTATCTCGTCGCCATTTACTTCGAAGCTGACGGGGATAATTGGGACTACGGCATGTTCGAGATAATTACCAGGATTTCCGGCGTGCTCGAGGTAAGGGGATCATTACTATCATTAAGAACGTGCTTAAGCTCACGTACTGGCATCTGTGTAGCGTGTGATCAGCGAATATCTTGGGGGAGCGTCCTCATCACAGCCAGCGGCGCTTGATCCATCGTCAGTATCCTCTTCAGACAGCGGGGAATTGTTCAAGTTGAGCCGTAACAAACCAGCAGCCAAGAATCAGCTATGTGAGGACAATCAAATCGGCTCACCGACCGCAAAACGTCATCGGCTAGTGTGTGAACCGAGCGTCTTCCACTTGCCTGAGGTGTACCAGGAATTGGAGCGCATCGGAAAAGATCTTCAACATCTGTTCCGTGCCAGTTCTCGATCAGGTGTGAGCTCGCCGTCGTCGTCGTTGTCAGGCTTCGCAGCATTCCTCAACACCTTCATCACGCAGAAGTGGATCCCTAAGGTCAAAGCAAAAGCTCAGCACCTCCTGGCCGTCAAGGTGCGGGGTCTGACAACGATATGCCGGCTCCCAATACCTTCAGACACCAGCTACCAACCACCCAGCATCGACAGTCTGCTTCATGTCATCGAAAACCTTCGCGATATGATGATTAAAATGCCGACACACGCATCTGATCTAGCCAGCGTCCTCGAAGCTTCTGTGCTCAGCTGGCTGGAAGAATGCGCTGTAATAGTGCGCGATATTCGTGAGCAGACGCTCAATCACCAGCAGTTGTTAACTAAAAACATCACCTGCGCAGACCTGGTAGCCATTTTCCACGAGTACGAAGGATATCAACGCGCCAAGCAAGGCAGTCCGATCCCTTATCACCACTCGAAAGTGCAGCCAACAGGATCGACGAGTAGTGGATCTGGTCCCAACCGGTTGAGCACTGAGGAGATGATAGCGGCAAGAGAACTGGAGTTTGAATGTGAGCTTTACGATCCAGATTTCTGGATGCAAGGTCCCAATGGTTTACTCATGGACAACGCGCGAATTGGGATGCTCGGCTACGCCAACAGCGCGTGCGATCTCATCGCTGTATACCTCCAACGAGTAGCAGGAGGTACCGAAGGGTCTAACAACACTCCTGCAGCCCCAGCTACCTCACCAGCACTTACCATGGCGCTACAAGCTGCGAGCTGGCAGTGTAGTGCTCTAGCTGATGAATGTCTGTTGTTCCTGCGTCGCGAGGTGCGCCTGCACTGCTGCTACTACCTCACACAGCTCGTCTCGCTGCGATTTGACCTGGAAGAAGGCCAGCCGACCATGGCCCAAGACAGCGTACTGACGCTCAACTTGGACCTCTCATCGATCGAGAACGCACTGCAGCCGTACTTGGCGAGCGACAAGATGACGCTTGTTTTCAATGGAGTGGATTCGCTGCTGTCCCGACTGCTGATCGGCAATCTTGCTCAGATGACTGACTGTACATTTACTCGTGGAGGTGTCCAGCAGATGCTGCTCAACATCGGGGCTCTTCGTCAAGGGCTCACGGGCACGTTGTACTCGTATCCTCGCGATGGTATGTCGTTGTCCTCCTCGACATCGATGCCTTCATCTTGTTCGTTGGCTTCACGTTTGGAGGACGCCAAGCGGTACTACCAGCTGTTGAACTTGTCGGAGATGCAACTTGAAATGTTTCTTTTGGCAAACCGCGGCGCGTACGCACATGAAGCTTTTCGAGCTCTCTGGCACGTTAACGCTCCGCATCGTCCACTAACGAAGGGAAGCGTCAATAAACTCGACAGTCTTCTACGGTAAGATACCTTGCAACGCTGGAAGCAGGAACGATAGCTCTCCAACGGCTTCTCCAAACTCATAATATCGCTCTACTCTGATCTTTCTCATCGTTGAAAATATGAATCCGCGTCTTGGACATCCGTGTGAGTGGCAGGAAGGTCAGTAATAGACGGAAACAGCGCTCTGCTAGCAGTACTTGATGGCCGTGACGCCCGCGTCGAAGTAGCAGCTGCAGCAGTGGCGGGGTTGAACGCTTCGCGGCTGTTAAGAAAGTCCGGTAACGGCGGAAGTGAACGATGTGCTGGTGGCAGCACGATCGGTGTACGCGGTGGCTGTTGTTGCTGTTGAACCAGCGGCAGTGCAGCCAGCGGTTTGTTGGGCAGTGGCAAGCTGACGGACGGCATGATCGGCGTAGGATGGGGAGGTCTGGTGGCTGCCGCTGCAACAGCACTAGCAACTGTAGGCAACCCCGCGGATGTGGCACTTCCTGGTCCTGGTATCGAGAATAGCGGCGGTGGAGGGGTTGTATGCAGCAACGAGGACGTCGTGGGCCTCGTCACCTGCTGTAAATGAGGCAGCGACGGGATCCGTTCGTGCTGGTAGGTCCTGACTCTCTCAATAGGCGGCGGCGGGGGTAATGTGATCTGTACACCGCCACCGAACGGCAACCTGTTCTGCATCTCTCGCTGTCTCTGCTGTTCCTGATGCTGTCTCAACGTCGGCAGCTCCGGCGCCAGCCTTAAGTGCGGCAGTCGGTCCCTGTCCAACACAGGCTGCAGCAGTTGCAACTGCGCGGGCAGTAGTGTGTCCTCCTCATCCACCTCATGTTGTCTTTTGAGCTGGCGTCGACGGCATCGGATGCGCAAGCGTTCGCGCGCCCGCAACTCCTCGCGCGCCTCGTCGTTGAGCGTATGGCGACGCTCACGCTGTCGCTCGCGTTGTTTCTGGCGGATATCTGCCTTGGCTCGGTCGCTGAGATTCTGGCGTCGAAGCTGTTGTCGTCGCCGGTTCTGTGCACGTAGGCGGTCGCGTGCTTCGTCGTCCAGCAGCAAACGGCGTTCGCGTTGTCGGCGTGTGCTCTGCTGGCGCTGTAGCTCAACTAAGGGATGGGATGCGCTGGACAAGGACTTGAAGTGGCGGTACTTGGCTGCACGCCGGTTGGCCAGTCGCCGTCGACGCCCCTCGGGCGACTCACGCGGAGGTGATGCATATTGCCGGCGGATGCTCGGCGGAGTGTCCATTTTGAGCTTCTATTTTTGAAGAATGAAGTAACATTAGTTCGGAATTTTAATCTCGTTCTAATTCCGGGAACTAAATTAGAATGGTTTCAGATTCTGAAGAGTCGTTAAATATTAGAACTAAGTAATAAACTTAGTTTCTTAAAATCTCGTCTCGATACGCGCATCCTGATTGGCTCCCGGGAGGGATCGATACGCATCCTGATTGGCTCCGCGAGGAGGGCGGCCTAATAACACATAGTTCCAAAATCTCGTCGTCACGCATGCTGATTGGTCGGGATGGCATTCAACGGCAAAGCGACAAACTCGATTTTTTTTTTTTTTTTTTTTTTGACGGTTATTGGAAGACAAGAGTGACCCCCCGTTTAATGTTGGAGTCGATGCCACTCCCCGCCTTCATGCACCAACTCACTCGTAGGCCAGTACTTGGGTTCGAGCTTGAGCGTACTGAGACGGTCCTTGCCACTGAGGTCCGTGTACTTGATGCGCACCGAGTCGTTTGCCGATTTTGCGGTAACGACACTCAAGAAATCGTCGATACTTGTGATCTTGATGCCGTCGATTTCCTTGATGCGACTTGTGGGTGGCGGACCATAACGAGCAGCCGGAGAACCCGAGTACCGACAGGACACGTATATACCATCATCCAACGAGATGCTACGCTGCGCGGACACTGATAGCGGTGGCGCCTGCAGTAACAAACCTTGCCAGAATACGATACGGTTGATCTCCGTGCGCTCCATGAAAAGGGTCTTCACGTCCAACTGCATCTCGCGTCCATCTCGCACGATAGTGAGCCGCACTTCTGGCTTCTGTGTACAGCGCTCTACCTCACGGAAACTCGTCACGATCTTGCCGTCCACAGCGACCAAGATATCGCCGTTTTTAAGCACGTCCTGGGCCTCGGTGCCACCCCATCGTCGCGCGACGCTCAAAATGGTCCGGCGATCCGGCGCATCCTTCTCCAGGATCTCGGCTAGAGCTTGACCGAGACCAAGCTCTCGAGCCTTAGCCAAGCTCAAGTGCTCGAAGTCAACGCCCAGGTCGTAGATTTTAGGTGTCACTCCACGCATCAGAGGTGCAGCGCTTTCCATGATCAGATCCATCGGGATACCGCGGTTGAACTGACTTTCCACCTTGGAGCTACGACGCTGCTGTTGGAACGAGAAAGAGGCCCAGAACGCACTCACCTCGCCCTTGTCACTGCAAATAACGCCGCCTTCAGTGCCAACAACGTCCTGCAAAGAAACCATTTCGAGGTTATGCTCCTGGTACCGCGGTGGGTTAGGCATAGGCAATCCAATCCACTTAACACCAGACACGATAGTCTCGCGGGACACAAGATCGGAGTGGCCACTGCGACCCACGCTGCTCATAAGACCAACGAGCCACACGGGATCGGATGGTACCAGCGGTTTGGATGCCACCTGGCAGCTTTCAATGGGCGTGGAACCAATGAGCTTCGGATCGTACTGCACAATGGCGAAGTTATGCACCGGATGAACAAATACCACTTGAGCCGGAACCATAATGGTGCTAGCGAAAGTCACCATGGCGTCGCCCATTGAGTCAGTCACAGTGTTGCGATCTACAACCACAAGTCCCTTGGCCGCATCAATCACAAGTCCTGTGCCTCGGTAATTAGACGTCGACAAACTGTTCACACTGAATGGTCTGTCAAAGTCCACCGTGACTAACGAGCGCGCAAGCTTATTCTCCACCGGGTTTTTACCCGGTAAGGTAGTTGTTGAGCCGATCGGCTCCTCTTGGGCTGAAGTCTTGCTCTTTTCGGCATCACTTGCGCTACTATCCTCGCTGGGTGGAGCAAAATGCTCACAGTGCCATGTTCCAAGCTTGTCGTCACGTACATATTCGCAGAACGGGAACCACCTGCGGTCTACATGCACGACCTCGACCTTTTCAGACTTATCTGTCAATTTCGAGAACTTGACTACGATGCGATCGCGGTCCTTGCACTGCTTTAGGTAGTTCTTGAGCGTCTCGAGATCAGGCGTCTTAGTACCATTAACAGAGTGGATGATGGATCCACGACCAATACGAGAACGTTGCAGGAAGTAACCTGGATCCGCAACGTACGGCGCTCCAGAGCTCATCGCATGGTTCCGTGCTTGCTGGTACGACAGCGGGTTGATGACAGCGCCACCAATTTCGATAAAACGCGATGGAGTAACTGAGTGTAAGTCTTGAACTTGCACTTTGTGCGTCACCAACTCCCCTGAACGTTCGATTTGAAGCTCAACCTGTGGCAACAGCGCAAGGGATTAGTCGGCATGGTAGAAGCTATAAGCATATGAAATATCTACCTCCTTGTCGACGTTGTCATCAAGTATGGCTTCCAATGGCACGAACCGCGTGATCAATTCACCGTTTAAGCGCACCAGTACATCACCAGGCTGCAGCTTGTTGCTGGACGGGCCACCCGGAATCGTTTCGGCTACTGTTAGCATTCCTGTCTCCAGCGGGAACGAAGTACGAACAAGACCTTCCGTGGCTGGGTCCACTCCAAGTCGGCGCACCTCATCGAAGGGTTTGTAGTTGAAGATCGCTTGGATAGTGCCGCGAGGCACCTCCTTGCCTTCTCGAATTAAATCGAATGCGCGCTTAACTCGATCTAGTGGCAGATAGAAGGATGCTGCTGTGCCAATTTTACCGCCGGCATTGAGAGCAATTGCATCGCCATCGTGGTTGAGCACTGGTGAGCCCGAAGAACCGCCGGTAGTTCCTGACGAAGCCTGGTAATAGAAGGTGTTGAAGTCGTTGTAGCTGTTGTATCCATAGTTGGGTGCATCGCGATCCAGACGCGCCAGTGTGCCACTAGCAATAGCGAGCTTTTCAGCAGCATCGTTACCCACGACGCGGATGTCCGTCCCTACGGTAGCTTTTTCCGGTTCCAAGCGCAAAGAAGGCACCGACATGTGCTTCACGTCCTGTTCGGCACAAAGCAGGTCAATCAACAATCTCAAAACACTAGCAAAGCAATGAGTAGGTACAACTTACCGCCGGGTTGAATTGAAAGAAGCCAAAGTCGTGAACCGGATCGCGGTAAATCGGAATCACCCGAACTTCCTCGTTATTCTGGAAAACAGCCTCCGCATCCTGCACAAAACGAACAAATTCCAAGCATACCATCACAATTGTCAATAACCGGAAAGCCAACAGCAATCGAAACTATCTCCATACAATGGGTCCTGGTCCCACGACGTGGCGGTTCGTCAGAATAATTCCCTTCTCCGCGTCCACCACAAAACCCGTCGCGGACCCGTTACCCGGCGACTCCGTGTCGAAAAACTATAAAACCCAATCACCCAATTTCCCAGTCAATAATTGCTGACGTCACCATAATAACAACGTTCTCCATCCCACCTTGGGCGAGTTGAGCTTCAAGCTCACAATAGCAGGCACCACGCGTTCGAGTGTGGTCTTCCAGTCCAGTTTGTGCTGGTTAGCTTCGGCCGCCACCAGCTCCGCGGCGAGACGGTCACTCAACTTGCGCTGACGCTCGATTTCTTGCTCGCGCTGTTGCTTCTCCTGCTCGCTCTGACGCCCTGTCGTCACAAACAGGTAGCCGACGCCCGCTGCGGCCAACGCTGCTGCCGCCATCTGCGCGGTCTGCGTCGCTATCAAACCGAAAAGATCTCATTAACTCTTAAGCCCTCGAATGTAAAACCAAGCCACGTACTTGGAGCTGACGAGGAGGAAGACGTCGAGTAAGGTCGGCCCAGCCCCAACGGCAGCGTCTGCAACGCTCGCGGACGCCAGCACAGTAGCTGCGTGCCCCCAGCAGCGGCCCGAGCCCGAGGCAGTGGAGACGCGAGCGTCCGTCGTGCCGCCGTCGCACCCGCCTTCCACATGATCGTCTTACAGGGAAGTTGGCAAATGGGATCAAGAGTGAATGTCTGGTTCAACTGGTCCATTTTATAGGTATTTGTACCCTTTTTATTTGACCCAAGTTTTGGTACTACAGTAGTCAAATAAATGGGTAAGGAAACTTAAAAAGTGCATGTACTGTATAATCGGACCATTCAAAATATACGCCTTGTATAATCGGACCATTCAGTTATACGCTTTGTACGGTTAAAACGAACTGGTACTGTTTAAAATGAACAGCTCGATTTCAAGATACCTGAACGAAAACGTACGGTACCAAGATACCTTAACGATAACGTACGGTCCCACTTGTGAACCAAAAAAAGTTCTGGCACAAGACGAAGATGTCGGCGGCGATGCTGAAGAAGATGCTGCTGGACGCGGCGGCGGCGCTCAAGGCCGAGCGTTTCCAGGAGGCACAGGACGCTGGTCGCCGCGTGACACAGTTCGATCCCAATAACTTTCAGGCCTTCATGTGTGTGGGACTGGCCAGCTTCCAGCTGCAGGAAGTGCGTTGTCTTGGATGCCTACGTATTAACGATCACTATCCTGATAGTATACGTGATTAAACTGATGATTGTAGTGGGAAGACTGCGAGGAGGCGTATCGCCGCGCTGCGGATCTCAAGCCGGACATGCCGGCGCCATGGAAGGTAATTAGACGCCGTTTAAGCCGACTACTGGATTGCAGAGACTGAGTTTATGTGGCTATAGTATCTTGTGGACCTTTTTGAAGCAAAGAAGGACATCAAGAGCAAAATGGAACCGCTGCAGAAACTTGTGGAGATTAATTTAAGGTACTGCGATGCGAGAGACAAGTGTAGGAGGATTTTGCTGATGTTTGAGGTGCTTACAGGGGCAAGAAGTTGAAGAAATGCCAGAAGTGGGTCGCTGAGGTGGCAGCTACTGCGATGGAGTTGAAGATGCTCCCGAAGGTTTGATCTCGTGCTCATCGACACTGTCCTAATATTTCCACAATGACGAGTCTTATTATTTGTTGCTGGTTTGTGATTGTCTGGAGCAGGCTTTTGACTCATGGTACTCACTCGTGGGGGAGCAATCCAGAGATTTGGGGCAGCTTTCACTGGAGAAAACTCCGAACGAGGAGCTACCGACAACACTGAGTATCTGGCTGGATTTAGTTGATTTGCTACAGGTACGATATCGCTTTGTCCAGTTAGACTATGGGCGACATGTTGAACCCATGTTGTGTTCGCGGTGTAGCGTCCTGGTTTCAATTTATCGGAATGCTCTGGTAGCTACTCCATGGCAGAAATCTCGAGTCAGTTCTTTACTGCTGCATTTCGTACAGATTGGACAGCCCAGAACGAAGAAATTGACACACTTCGGCCGCGAATGGACGTCGCAATTGCATTCTTCATGCGATTCCACCTGGACGCGTTGAAGACTTCAAAGAAGAAAAGTACTCTTCTGAAGACGATCGATGCGTTGGCACTGTCAATCGTGGAGTGGTTTCCTGAATCGAAGATCCCAGCGGAATATTTACTTCTCCGATCTGAAGACCAGGACACTCGTACGCGTTAATATTGGTATTTGTGGGACTGATACTATACTAATCACAATGATATTCCTTTCGTGAACGGCAGCTATTGAGCTGGGAAAGGCAAAGGAGATTGCGGCACGATTGTCTGCAAGTCACCCGAAGAGTCCTATGGCCCTTGTGTTCCAAGCGATCGAGTGTTTGCATGCGGGGGAAAACGCCCAGGTAAGATTGGTTTTGCTCGTGCCTGATGTCACGGTTTTGATAATTGTAAATGTCCTCTATCTTTACCAGGCTCGAGAAATCTTCGTCGAAGCACTCGCAGGATATTCGTCTTCTTCATTTCAAGAATGTGCTCTTTGCATTCGCGTTCAAGTCGAACTGGCGTCGATCGCTCTTGCAGCTCGCGACGTTGAGGGTTGCTTGAATCGTCTAGCGTTGGCAAAAAAGGTGGTGGCTGACAAGACAATGATGCTTGGATCCGAAGGCCCGATCCCTGCTCTGTAAGTCCTGCTACGAGGTCTGTATTGTACATCGTCGCTTACTGTGTACGTGTGCGCTACAGGTATTCGGAAGTCAAGGTGCAGTTCATGACAGCAGCAGCACGTGAATATGCTGCCGAAACAGATAAAGCGCTGGAGCACTACCACAAGGCCATGGAAAGTGGCGATGTTGCCTTTACGATTAGAGCTGCAGTTGCAGCAGCAGAGCTTTTAGCCGGAAAAGCTCGACCACAGGAGGCTCTCGATATCATTGACTCTGTCTCATTGTCTGAAGTGGAAGATGAAAGAATGAGTGCTGCTGCACTGTGCACGCGCGGATGGCTGCAATTTCAGCTTGGCGATCTCCAGCAGGCCCAAGCACTACTAGAGACGAACGCAAGCAAAATCCCGCCCACTGATGTATCTGTTAGAGGGCGAACGCTCAAGCGATTGGCAATCATGTACTGGCACCTCGGCGGGTCTCACCAAACTGCCAAGACTGGATGTTTTGGTCATCTACTGCAAGCAGCCAAATTGACGCCATCTGACGCGGAAATCTTTTCATGGCTGGGAAAATGGTATCAAGTAGTCGCAAAGGATATTCTGCGTGCTGAAAAGTGTTTCTTGAAAGCACTTTCGCTGTCTCCCACTGAGGAGCTAGCAGGCATGGCCCTTAGCGACTTTTACGATCTGCAAGGGAAATACGAAACGAATGTTAAGCTGTGGGAGCGAGTGACAGAGAATCCTGAGACTGCCCCTACGTGGGCACTTTTACGACTGGCTCAGCACCTAGTAGAGCAAAACGACGAGGCTGCAGTGGGGAAATTGCATCTGGTCCTGCGCAATGACCCTATGAATGCTCGCTACTGGGTCATTCTGGCGCATGTTTACCAAAACTTTGACAAACAAGTGTCCGCGCAAAGATCGTACTTGAAGGCCATCGAACTAGGTGAAGAAAGCTGGTGCGTTCGCTGTGAATTGGCTCGAATTGAAGGGTCATTGCTGCTCTTCGATGATGCTTTGGAGCGTATCAGACCTGTTGTTACTGGCGAGTTGTCGAATGGTGAGCCGGACGTGACGGTGGCTTCCATGATTTACGCTGATTTACTTTTCCAACAAGCTAAATACTTATGCGCCGAGGGATTGTATGGCAATGCTGCTAAAAATCTGAAGGAGGCTTCGCGCATGATGAAGGGGCTGCCATCTACTTCTCCACTTTCAGGATCTGTGGAAGCGTGCAAGTTGATCGGTGATATTCATTGCTTCGCTTTCTACTTGTCGCCGGATGACTTTTCAAGCGAAGGATCCAGCTGGGTGGAGTTTATCAGCGCAGGACGGAAAGCGTATGAAGCTGCTGTACTTTTTGCCAGCAAGGGCGGAAAAGAGGCGGCGGACGGCCCTGACACTGTTGCAGCAGAAAGATATTACGACATCGGTCTGAGTTACTGGTACGAAGTTCAGGCTCTGAGTAATGTGCGAGGTATTCCCACTTCAGCTTTCTCAGGTGAGACAGGACTCGACACAGATTCTTCTGTTGCAGCACTGAAGGTGAAGGCATCGACGAATTTCAAGCTGGCTCTGCAAGAGGACCCTTCGTGTTCGTTGGCCTGGAATGGTTTGGCTCTTGTGTCTGATAATCTGCTGGTAAAGCAATTTGCCTGGACACGAGCGATCCAAACTGGCACCAGCAGCGACGCCACATGGGCCAATCTGGGTATGTTCTACCTCAGTCAGGCTGACACCGTGCCAACAACAGCGTCTTTGGCGCAGAAGTCGTTCCTCCAACTGCAGAGCATGAACCCAAGCAACCCGTCCATGTGGAATGGCTATGCTATGCTGGCTCGTCGTCAAGCTAACTCGACAGTTCAGCAAAGAAAAGCGATTGAAGCGTTCGACTGCGCGTTGCAGACCGGGCTGGATCTGGATGCTTTGCTAGGCTTGAGCATGGCACTGCTTGATTTCGGTGCGAGCGTTGGTGAATCAATCACCCAAGCCCCAGAGCACAGCAATGAAGTGGTGATGTTCTATCTCAAAAAGTATCTGGAACGAGATCCGTTCAACGGGCGCGCTTGGCATGCCCTCGGTGTCGCTCAACATCGACTAGGACTCTACACCGAGGCTTTGGCATCGTACACCCGCGCGGCTTCGTCGACGCAAGCGCCTGAGGGACTTGAATGGAACACGTTGGTGACAAAACTCGGCGAGCTGTCCAGTACACTTAAGTACACTACAGAGGAAGAATCAACACTCCTGCAGAAGATTGTTGCACAGATAAACTCATCGTCAAGTGAAGCCTCGGCACTACAGGCTATCGTGCAAGCCCAGGTACTATACCGCCAAGCGAAGGGAGGTGAGGCGCTGAATCTGCTTCAGGCGCTGTTGGCGCAAGACGAAACCCAGTCCAGCCAAAGTGAAGTCGTTGCCCTTGTGGGACTATCGTTGGCGAGCTTGTTGATGGAGCAATTCACGTCTCAGGCCACTGGTCTCGCTGCAGCGTGTAAGAAACGCCTCCTGTTGTCGATTGATGAAGCGGAGTCAACTCTTACCACGCGCGACTACCTGAATCTGCGTTTGGTTGAGCTTCATGAACGATGGGTGGGCGCCGAAGACACTTATTTGACACGCTTGCAGGCACTGTCGCAAGCTAACGATGGCACTAAATCCAGCACTTTGTGGACGCGACTGGCTCTTGCAGCGATGGATTCGGAGGCCCTTCAGGCGTCAAGTTGCCTCGCGGAATACTTGCGTTCGAGTGCCAGACAAATGCCGTCTTTAGGTAAAGAGATGATGGATCGCAACTTCCTCGATGCGCTGGTGGGTCTATTCAAGGCTGGTCCAGCAGGGACGAACGGGTTGTGCATGGATGCTCAGAAGCTGATTCGTGCTCAGTCTTGGAACCCGCATGCTTACATTTTGGCTGGCGCGAGCGTGTTGAAGCGCATGAGTCTTGAGGCCAAGCAAGA